GGGAGCTCTCTCTCTCTCTCTCTCTCTCTAAGAAAGGAGCCCTCTCTCTCTCTCTAACTCTATTGTTCTTTGTCTCTACTATTCTTGAAAATGGAGGCCGTTGTGATTCATAGCACTCTTTTTGGCTTCCCCCCAAGTCGCCATGTTTCATTTGCAAAAGGTCGACCCAACAATTTTCTCTGTTATTTAACACGCCCAATATCATCACATAACAGGTAGAAAATTTCTCAAGGTTTGAAATTTCAGCCCATTATAAGCTTTTACATGCGATTTGTGTTATAGAACACCTCTATTTCATGTTTGCTAAATACCCAGTTCCTCTCTCTCTCTAGTTGGTTAACTTATAACTTACTGAGAGAATGGATTTATAGTTTATGCATTTGGGTTCTTTTCAGATTCTCTTATAAAGTTGTTAGAATCCAAGCTGCAACCTCTGCAGCTGTGGAGGTACGAAATTATTATCAAATTTGTGTGAAATGAATATGTTGGGTATGATGCATGTTCAGTTAACTTTAATGAGGTATTATCAGGATGGAAGTTCTAGTGAGACAGATACAACTCCTACTCCGAAAGTTATAATAGATCAAGATTCAGATCCTGATGCCACAGTTGTGGAGATAACTTTTGGGGATCGACTTGGCACCCTTCTTGACACAGTATGATGACACCTTCTTCCACATGAAAAATTCAATTTGGAATCTCTCTCTCTCTCAATCGAAATCGACCACGGTAATATTGGTGGTATTTGGTGCAGATGCAGGCCCTGAAAAACTTGGGACTCAATGTTGTGAAGGCTAATGTTTTCTTGGATTCTTCGGGCAAGCACAACACTTTTGCAATCACTCGAGCGTAAGATTCGTTACCTTTGTGCAATCTATGAATTCATGTATGTTTTGCTAATATGCTAAAATTATGTAGCAGCAGGCTTCTGGTTACCCAAAATAAAGTTTCACAAATGTTTTCTCCTCTTTTTGTTTTAAATTTATATACTCTCTGTTTAAATTTGGATTTTATGCATCATTTTGATCAAATATTATCTTGTTTGCAATTTTGGCAAGATGAGAAAAAAGAGAAATAGTACATGGTCATATAAAATTTTATTTAACAACTCAAACACAACTATAGAATTTTGCATACCTGTTATGTTTGTGCTTTATATGTTTCTACTTACGCCAGCTTGGACACTGTTTGTTCAAATCAGAGTCCAAGACATATTTAGCATGGAGCTAAACCTTTACTTTCTGCCTTTTTTTTTTTTGTGCTCATTGAATACTCTGTATTATGTGCATGCTAACAAAACTCTTAGTTAGAAGTCTAAGTTTTATTGAAGAGTATGATTGTGCAAATGTTTTTGCAGTGATACTGGACGGAAAATTGACAATCCTGAGTTGCTAGAAGCAATACGCCTGACTATTATTAACAATTTACTTGAGTATCACCCGGTAAAATATGATTCAGAGGTTTTGGTTGATATATGTCTTTAATAATAGAGAATTATTAGCCAAGCATATGTTTATTTGCCTTGAAGTTTATGTTTTTGTTGTCATGGGTAGAAATTTACTAAATAACCATGATTTATGATCTAGGAATCTAGTGCACAATTGGCACTGGGAGAGACATTTGGAATCTCGCCACCAAAGCAGAAGGTAAAGCTGCATGTAATTTGAATCACAAATATTTCTAGTAGTTTGTCATTATGGGTACTGCATTTTTTTAATTAGGATTTTCGTGATTTGGATTTCAGGCTTTTGGGTTTCAATGTCAGTGTGTAACAAAAGAAAGATTTTTTCAGCTTCAATGTGTATGATGTACAGCATTGGGTGCCTTACTTATCGACAATGTAGATTAGAATGTCAAATTTGAATATTTGCAAGGTTTTGGATGAGAATGTTTAGCTAATGGAAGCACCTTTGGAAATATGTTTACTGTCAGAAATCAGTCCAAGATCAGCACTTCCATTTCACTACATATCACCTTCTTCCTGAAAGTAAAAAGTGGGGAGTGGCAGAAGCTTGCTTTTGTCCCTTGCTCAATTTTATTTTTCCTTCTTTTTTTTGATGGAGTGCTTGACAAATCTAAGGCACCACAAGGAGTTCTTGGTTTGTTTCATGCCTTGTCCCACCTCTGCTTGTCAACTTGTCATGCCTAATAAGATATTTTATCAACCACTTTCTTCAACTTATTTCTGTTCACATGCATACTTTTTTATCAATTTTATTGAAGTCAAACTGGATGCGGAATAACGTAGGATATCAATTGGTCAAACTGGGTGCAAAGTTGGGGCAGGATAGGTTCTGGTTACTTTAAACAGCATATTTTGATTTATATTATCATTTATTATATATACCTTCAATGAGGAAATTTCCCTGCTCATTCCGTAACGATACATCATTATTGCGTGGCTTATTTCATTACAAGGCATCGTTCCTGCATGGGTCATTTTGTAACTATGCATTGTTTCTCCCAACTCAAACCCCTTTTATGTTTCTCTTCATTTTAGTACTAGTGGTGTTGCTTTTAATTGCTAAAATATATAAACTTCAAAATATTTCCCAAAGTGAAAAAAAAAAAAAACTGCAAATGCTAGCAGTTACAGTAGTTACTCACACACCTGTGTTTGCCAAACGTCCGCTAACTGTGTTGGTTTATCTTCTTTTGTAGCATGTTATTCCTATTGTTGTTGTTGTTGTTACTTTTATTATTATTACTACTACTACCATCACGACTACCACCATCACCACCACTACTACTTCTACTGTTACCTCTACTATTATTATTCTTATTATTTTAATTATTGTTGTTGTTATTATTATTATTATTATTTTGTTTTACATATGTGACTTTCCCTATGCTTCCCAAAGATAGAGCTAATCTGTTCCCTCTCTCCTCCCTCTTTATAAGGGTGAGAGCCCCACACTCTCTCCCTCTGTGTTGAGGAGGCTGACCTAGAGGGAGGGAACTGAATGAAGGAAACCTGCTTCTTTAATTCTGTTAAGGACGTTAGTGACAGCTTGGTAAATTTTCTGCATGGCATAAAATGCTACTTTCTTCCAATTTAACAAGTCTACCATTGTACAGATGTTACCAAAGTGGCCTCTTTCTCTCTTATTTCTTATTTTAGTTATCTCGCACACATTCTGGCTCTCATAGGGAAGCAACAGTAGTGGCTGGAACACTATCGAGTTCCTTAGGAATTAGTAATAGTTTTGAGCCATCTCCATTCACAAATTTATAGACTACAAGCTCTACCTACCTACTGCAAATAGGAAACTAATATATACAGGTTCGGCCCAAGTATTTATCTGGTTCTAATGGGAAAATAATTATCTGGTTCTCTGTTCTTAAATATTACACACGAACTTGATTATTTACCCTCTTGTTTCCACAGGTTGATGTGGATATTGTGACCCAGATAAACATATTTGATGATGGTCCCAACCGAAGGTTTGTGGAGAATTATACTTTCTTTTTCTTTTTGTTTCTGTACCATGCTTGAAACTTTTAACCTTGTGCTGCAATGCCAGATTTAGTGACACAATTTGAAGAATTATTTAAATATATCCACACTTCTTTCAGCTCAGAGATGTATTCCAACAACAAATTTGCATTCTAAAATGTTTCCTTGAAACTGGTTCTCACTGTTATTTTCCCATCTGCCCTGTTTACGCTAAATTTTATTTTTATTATAAATTTTTGAATTTTTTTCTATTGTGTCGGAATTTATTTTTGGTATTCTAAAGACCTTCATTCTACTTTGCGTCACTCATTGGCAATGAAGTGAATTATGCTGCTTCTTTCCCAGCTTGCTTCATGTAGAAACTGCAGACCGGCCTGGGTTACTGGTAGAAATTGTCAAAGTTATCGCAGAGATTAATATTGCAGTTGAATCAGGGGAATTTGATACCGAGGTAGGTTTCAATCTCTTAATTGGATTTGTTTTAATTTTTCATTTATATATATATATATGTATGTTTTATTTATTTATATATGCATGTGTATGTGTTGCATGTTTGTTTGTACATATATGTATGGGTGTGTTCTTGCGGGTAAGCGTATACATCTGAGCATGTGTCTTTGTACATATACGCATATGTATGTATCCCTGGTATTTACGACTTAAAGCGAGGCTCATTTACTAACTGTAGGGGCTTCTTGCTAAAGCCAAATTTCATGTTAGTTATCGGGGGAAAGCCATTTCCAAACCTCTGCAACAGGTAAACGAGTCCAAGTCTTAATTGGCATCTCTTGCCCACTTATAAAATCAATCTGATTAATACACCTGAAATGCAATTTATGTGGTGTTATTTCTCTCTCTCTCTCAAACACGGTTGCCCTTGTACAGGTTTTGGTTAATAGTTTGAGGTATTTCTTGCGGCGGCCTACAACAGAGGAGGCGAGTTTCTAAATTCTGTGAGCCATTATTGACCCTTGGTATGGGTGAAATTCTTGTCTGGCCGAGCTTGGTGTTTTATACAGGAACTTAATTGATGATGCTTAAATGTTTTCATACATTTTCTTCTACTTGATGTAGCCAAAGAATGATGGGCTAAGTTTCCCTAGGTTATATATTCAGAAGAATCAACATTGTTAGGTTTATTTTTATCAGAAAGTTCATATACACTTTATATGATAAAAACTGGGAAATGTGATATGATTCTAAATTATTAAAATACATGTAGGTTAACAAAATGTTACCATTTGATTATGACATTCATTCTTGTGTACCAGTGGACAGGTTTTGCATTGTTTAATCTCAAACTGTTCAATAAACATTGGATTGTGGGTATACTAGGGAGGATAGCTAGATTACTGAGTGGAAGCTCATGCTTTCTATACTGAAATCCTCCATCACCATTGGAAAGCTATCGAACCCATAGATGTGGATATGGATTCAATAGTTTGAGCTTTTGGGTTGCGAATAAATGAAGGCCATAGCAAAAGGGACGAAATTGTTGGGAGTTTTTGCTTCCTCTATGATTCAAGTAATTGCCTGCCACGCAAGTTACATATCAAAGATCACCCAAGAATACACAAAATGCCCGGGAGTACTTGTTTACATAGATCATGGGATTGAACAAATACATTAAATAGATAAGGTGCTATGGGACTTATAAAATAAGGATTCTATGCTATAAGACTGTTTATCTTTGTACAAGAAGAGCATAATCACCTTTAGCTATCACATATAAAATCTGGTGGTTGTAGTATGTTATATAGTTGAAGAGAATTTTTTGGGATTTTGAGTCCTGTGAATGGTACACCTCTTGTTGCCCTATTTTACGTCTACTAGTGAATGGTGATTTGGCCTTCTTGTACCAAAAGTAAATAATCATATTGTATATTCTCATAAAAATGGTGACCGAGGATAATGTCTAAAGGTACTTCTCATGGCACCACATGTGGCTGGACCATGCTTCATGCCAAACTTGTGTGATCACACTTTTGAAGCTTCTTTTGTCATATGAATCATGCATACTCCAAGGTCTATGGTGCACGCTCCCATTCGAAATAAATGTGTAAAATTTTAAGAAATGTCGAGTCCCTAGCTTTGCCACCCACAACGACACAGGTCCTACGAACCGTTTGAAAGTGAATAGTAGTAATGCCTTCATGAGTCTTAATTCCCAAATCTAATAAGATCAGAACAATAACAGATCATGGTGTGTGTGTGGTGTCTTCTTAAAAGCCTATGAAATCCAGAGGATATGAATTATCTCCTGCATTAGGAAGTTAAAAACTTAAAACAACTCACATTTTTAAAAGAAGCTTGCTTGATATTTGCAGAACATTTAATGGGGCTTATTTGCACACCAAAATATATAGTGAAGTGTGCTTCAATATTTTTGAGGATTTTTTTTTTTGTTTTTTTGGGGGGGGCCAGGGATGGGGTCAGCAGTGGGACTTGAACCCCAAACACTACTGAAACCATCAATCCCCAAACCACAAAGCAAAGGCCGAAGCCCACACATTTTCTTCATTGTTTATAATATCTTTACCGCATTGCTCATACATGCACGTTGTTCCGGCCTGTATTGAACACACCAAAGAGCAACCATGACCATCCTCACCCTATTCTCCTCAATCTCACACCTCTGCATCATGTCTTCCATTTTACCTCTCTCTAACATGTTCCAAACCCACGTAGGAAACCACTCTTGGCTCTGTGGAAGACTCACTTCCAAATTCTTCCTCCTCCGCACAATCTCAAACAACAACATCCCCTAACAATAGACATCACACTTATGAGTAACAGGGAATGGCATCAATAACTGGGCACCGCGTAGCCCGGGTCCCCCTCCCCTTTGTCATGGTCACATGGGTTGCGTCCCTCTTATTGCAAAGCTTCACCAAACCAAAATCCAGGAGAAGGTTTGATCGAGCAATATGTTTCCAGGTTTAATGTCATGGTGAATTACCCTTTGCTGGCAGTCTTCGTGGAGGTACGCTATGCCCTTCGCTGTCCCCAGTGCGATCTCATTTGTCTCGTGAAGCTTATCAAACGAGATCTTTTCCGTGTTTCTGAACAAGAACCCATCTAGTGAGCCATTCTCCATGAACTCGTACACGAGAGCCCTCATGCTATTTTCGAAGCAAAAGCCAATGAGCCTCACCAAATTGACATGGTGGGTTCTTCCTATGGTGCTTACCTCTGCCATGAAAGCGCTTCGATTCGTTGGTCAGAGCTTCCCTTCAGAACCTTTACTGCTACTTTAGCACCATTTGGGAATGTGTCCTTATAGACTGCCCCGTAACCACCTGCACCGAGCATGTGGGCTAAGTTCTCTGTGGCAGTGTTGAGCTGTTGTGCAGAGAACCTCATTGGCTTGAGCTTCTCCATGTTGCAAAGAAATTCATCAATTCTGTTGAGTTGGTCACCCAGATTATCAGTGTCTTCCTGGTTTTTGGACCAGCAAGTGCAACAGCAAAGCATTAAAAGCATGTCGATTCCCACTGAACGATGAAGGAACACAAAATGTGAATTTGGAGAAATTAAATCAAAAGTACCAGTCAAGTTAATCTGAAAGAGAGGAGTACATAGGTGAAGGAACCTATTAAAAATTCAAAGATAAGCAAGAAACACAGGGAAAACCAGCGTGTTTAGGAACTTGCCTGAGTCGATTCAGGCTTGGCTGAGTAACTGTACTTAGCATCTTGCCGTGCTGAAAAGTAGTGTACAAACTCGGTAAATTAAAAATATAAACAACTTTATAAGAATTAAATTTCTGTAGTAAGCAATGTTTAAACATGTGACTAAATCATTGTGACCATTGATTTTTATGAACTTTTTTCTTTAATCATTTGCTCTATTTTGAAATTTTGCCTTTTCTTCCAATTTCCAAAGGAAATAGTTTATATAGAGCCGAGGCTCTAAACAATCAAATTAGAGCCCACAACAAAAATTTCTCAAGAAGAGGTTGTTTTGATGCCCAAATATCCTCAAATTGATCATCTCCACATCAAGGTGCACGGATATAAAAGAAATGGATTTCAAGTTTTGGAAATAGTGAATCTTGTAAAGCATTTTTGGATCGACAATTTTCAAGATTTTCAAGTTTTCATAGATCTGCATGATCTACATTATTTTTTAAGCTTTAAATTTTATAATTAAAGATGAAAATATATTTTAAGGTTATCACAAAGATTTTCAGTATTGAAACTACATTTCTCGACACTATTTGAAGGTGGGCTCTAATTTGATTGTTTGGAGCCTCGGATCTATACAAACCGCACCCTTTTCTAAATTATTTCCAGGTAACTTTTCTTTACCAAATTCCAATTTTTATAATTTTTCATGTTAAAGCTTTAGTGCCCTTTACTGCCTAGTCTAGTTTTTACTTTTTCTTTTTAAACATTTTTCTTTTGCAAATTTGTAGCTTTTTTAGGAATGTACACTACTCAAGACCACTAACTCGGCTTAAGCCAATACCGAGTCCAAGGCTGGAGCAGAGTTTCATAACATTGGAAGAAAGGTCATTGTAATCAACTTAGTATTAAAAGCTAAGGAAAGGTAACAAATGGCAGAAATTAAACGTAATTTTTAATAGTAAAGTTTTTTGAAATTAGGAAATTTTCATATGAACAGTAGAAAAGTATAGTATTACGGCATGGTCTATATTTGAGGCCATATTACATTGAAAACCTACCTATTTTTTATTTATTTTTAGTCCAATTTTATCCCGGTTGAAAGTCTAAAGTTTCAATAGTAGTGTAAGAACTCGATAAATTTTAAAAGTAAAAATAAATTCATAAAATTGTATTTTATTAGTAAATCATGTATAAATATGTTCCTAGATCATTTTGATGATTGATTTATGAATTTTTTTTAATTATTCTCACTATTTTTATCCTGTCTTGGAATTTTCTGAATTGTTTCTAGTTATAGGTAAGTTTTTTCCCCCCAAATTCCATCTTTTATATGTTTTTCATAATTTTTAGACTTTAGTGCTCTTTACTATTTAGTTTAGTTTTTAGTTATTTTTTAAAAAAAATTGTAGCTTTTTTAGTAATGTACACTACTCGGCCAGGACTAAGTCCGAGGCCTGAGCCAACTTTCATAACATTGGATGAACTTCCAAGGTCATTATAATCAACTAACTATTAAAAGGTAAGGAAGTGTCGGAGATAATTTTTATAGGAAATAAATTTGAAATTAGAGGATCATAAAAATACTTGGTATTACCACATAGTCTACATTTGGGGCTATATTACGTTGAAAACTCATTTTTTTTATTATGGGCAAGCTTTCTATGCTTCTTCTATTGCATAAAACTTATATGCTTCCCTCTCTCCAACCGTCCATTTTGAATGGACGGCTGAGATGACTCCAATCACAATGTTATGTCTCTACACTATTTTATTTTTTATTTTTTCTACCAACTATTTTGACACAAAATTTTGGTCGTAATAAATAACCAAAATAAAGTTGCACCGGTAAAAAATATAAAATAAATATTCTCAATAAAATAAAATAACCAAAATACCCTTGAAAGCTTTAAGGGGTATTTGGTCATTATATTTTTATCAAACATTGTTTTTAATATATTTTTTGGGTCGTTCCTTTTGAGATGATGACACTTACTAAATTACATATTCATATAATTTGTAGAAAAAAATAAAAATAAAATACTTTGAAGCATCGGATGTATATCGAACTGCCAGTGGTTCATTTGATCTAAATTGATCGCTTGGATGGAGGAAGAAGCATAAATCATCTACGCAGTAGGAGAAGTATAAAAACCTGTCCCTTTTGGTATCTCTTATAGTCTAAATTTACCCGTGTTCGAAACCTGCCCCCAACCACAACAAAGCTAATGTACTTGAGCATTTGTAAAGCCCATTAATGGTTTCTTTCGATAATTAACTCCAATAATATCTCAACAGAGTTTTTGCATAAATCTCTCACTCTCCCACTCCCAAAAATAAAAGCAAGATGAATTTGAATTTTGAGGGATATGAAAGAGCCCACTCCACAAACCTATCAGTCATGAACTCGATCCAGAGGAGTTATCACGCAGAAATGATACCTGTTGTTGCCATAGAGAGAGAGAGAGGAACAATAGATTGGGATTGATACCAAGAGAGAGACAATAGGTTGAGATAATTATTTATTTTTCGATACTTTTTTTTATAATCCAATCTAAGTGGTTGAACCAATTTGATTAGACCAAATCTTTCACTAATTTATTAGCAAGTCTATCCTAATAATAT